GTTTGCAGGTGGTATGGCGGGTACGTGAGGCGGTGCGGTGCCGATCGTCGAGCCGGTGGGGCGGCCGATGATGGAGATGATGGCCGCGTTGGTGGTGGGATTTGATGCGGGGCGGGGGCCAGGCACTCTGCAGGCACTGGGGCCAGGCACTCTGCAGGCACTGGGGGCTCGGCACACGGTTGCCACCCCATGGCGCCACTCACATCGTGCGCCAAGCTGGACAGCTTTCCTGTGAAGCCCGCAAAGGCGAAGACCGGTGCCGCGGCGGCAGCGACGGGCGTGATGGTGACGTCACCAAAGTTGGCCTTGGCCGTCTCGCACCACACGGCCAGCACGCGGCAGTTTGTGGAGAAGTCGACCTGGGGGACGAGCGACAGCTGGACCTGCAGGGCGGCCGGGAAGGGCGGAGCGGGTGCATCAGGGGGCGTGAGGTGCGGGCGCTATGTAAGGGGCGGGGAGGACGGGGCAGGGACGGGGCGTGTGGAGTGCGTGGGAGCGACGTGAGTCGATTTCGTCAGTGCACGGTGGTGCGGCAAATGTCATGTGCGCTGGGTTGTGTAATGTGCCAATGATATGGCGGCTGGCCGGCCCGGCCTGGCCAGCCCTGGGTTCTTGAGGTCACAAGCACGCACAGATATAGGGCTGTGGTGTGACACACCGCCTGATTGGTTATAATTGATCACCACCCCCACAGCTCTGGTGCATCCTGCAACCTCAAAACCTGCAACCTGGCCAGCGCACCTTCTCCCCGTTGTAAGCCCGATCGAGGCGCCCCGGTGCCGCACGGAAGCCGGCGAGCAGGTCTGCGCGCGAGTTGGACTTGGCGCACCACCAGTGGGTCGCGGGCGCCTTGCCGTCGTAGCTGGGGTTGGGGTGAGGTTGCGGTGGTGGGTTTTGAGAAGAGGAGGGGTGGGACTGATGTACGCAGGATCACGGGCCCAGATACCAAGCAATGAGGTGTCGCTTGGGGGCTTGTTCCGGCGCAAATAGGACACAGGGCGTCAAGAGCTTGCCTTGTGGCGGGGCAGCGTGTGGGGCGTGCCGCGACACCCATAGCAGCATGCAGGGCTCAGACTAGCCCTTGAACAAGATTCTGTTGGACACCTCAATCCGACAGGCAAGGAAAGCTTGGGCAGGCGGGGTGGGAGGCGGGGCGCGCGGGCGGCTCACGTGAAGCCTTCAACGGTGACGGATGAGCGGTTGTTGACTGTCACCTTCCCGGCCACCTGGCACGTTTGCAGGTGGTTGGGCGGGTACGTGAGGCGGAGCAGTGCCAATTTCCGATCCGGTGGGGCGGCTGGTGATGGAGATCATGGCAGTGATGGTGGTGGGCTTTGATGTGGGGCGGGGGACAGGCACTCTGCAGACATAATTGGGGGCTTGGCGCACGGCGGCCACCCCACGGCGCCACTCACATCGTGCGCCAAGCTGGACAGCTTTCCTGAGAAGCCCGCAAAGGCGAAGACCGGTGTTGCCGCGGCGCCGGCGGCAGGCGTGATGGTGACGTCACCAAAGTTGGCCTTGGCCGTCTCGCACCAGACGGCCAGCACGCGGCAGTTTGTGGAGAAGTCGACCTGGGGGACGAGCGACAGCTGGACCTGCGGGGCGGCCAGGAGGGGCAGG